TATAGCATCTAATTTTGAGAGGTTTTAAAGGAAAAATGATGTAAAACACCAATAGCCGGCTGAAATCGGCAATACATTCACTTTGAGCCCAAATAATGCTTAATATGTCTTCTGTATAAGTCTGCACTTCTAAAGTTGCCTAAAATGTTGTAGATGTGTCATCACAAGGAACCTCTAACAGTCACTTCACCTTATGAATCTGAATTTTATACCCCAATAATCTTTTAAATTGAACATTATTTGTTCAAATATAATAAAGTATTTTTAAGTGACAAAATTTGTAGCAAATACGCTTTGGTACCGCAGCAGACCAATGCATAACATCATTTCTGAAATACGTCTTGTAGCGCATTTGAACTTCTGCAACCACAGCTCTCAGGTCTCTTACTAAGATGCAACTACCAGACTCTCACAAAAAGAAATTAACAGACGTAGCAAATTACATATGTACTGTAGTCCCGTTTTTTCTTGCTACTTCAGAATCTCAACAGTGAAAAACCTTGCTATTAAAAGCATAGTGAAACAGGAACACAGAAGGAAACAACAGCCAATCACCAATAACTCGTTGTCTAACCTCCCCACTTCTAATATTATAAGTTTTCGCGTGTAGAAATCAATTTAAACATACGAAGAACGGAAGGCAGACATCACGCATTTCTTAACCTTTTAATACGCGAGAAAACTAGTCTATCTTTCTGGTCTAATGTTACACAAAAAACTTTATTTATTGTAGAAAAAATAATAGAGCACAAATTTACTTTAGGGGATAGAAATTTTTATTCAAGAAAAAGTATTGCAACACAGTTAAAAAAGCACTTTTATAAATTAATATACACAATGTAAATGAAAAGCGGACCTATACAGTAAAAAAACTGCAGTATGGCCTAATAATACAAATCACAGACAACTGCAAAGATGAGCAAAATACCACTTAGAAAACTGTTTTCCATCAAAAGCACAGTAAAACTGTTTAACCAGCAAGAGACAGTCAAGATCCACTTCTGCTTGCTAACCAAAAAGTAAGAAAAGAATGATAATATAGTTATAAGTTAGAAAGTTTGCAAGCGTGAGATGTCAACAAAACGTATTATTAAATTGCAAAAAAATACACATAAAAGAAATTAAAATAAATATAATAAAATAATTGTGACTAAAACATACTTCAGAGAAGCTAGGACCTCTGAAACCTGAAGAAGCAACAAAGTAAAAAATTTTGCCGGCTGCAACAGTTAACACATAATTATAGCGACAACAGCAATTTGTCCATCGGATCAATTCGGTAGCGGTGTAAAGATCAAACTTCAAAAAAAAAAAAAAAAAAAAAAAAAAAAAAA